GGTTTTTTTTTCACTTATGGCTAGTGATGTAATAGAAGAAATTCTTAGTTCTAGAAACTGTTACTAATCAACACAGACTGTTGCTCAGCCAAAACTGTATTGAATTCCTGAAGCCAGAGCAAGAGAACAGAGACTTCACAGAATTAGGAATCCTGAGTTTCTTTTTCTTTCTTTTATATAGCAAAAGGGAGAGTGCATATTAGAGTGTGGGATAGAGTAAGTGATTCAGGAAGTCTGTACTGTCTGATTACCTCAGTCAATGGAGCAAAGAAGAGGGTGATGGAGGGGGAAACTTAAAATAAAAAGGGGGCTGCATCCCCCAGGCACTTGAAAGACCCCATGGGAAGTGGCCCATGGCCTCTCCCTTTATTCCAATAAAGTTACGGGACTCCCCTGTCTCTTTCTGGGACAAAACCCTCTGGCATCAGGGATTAATTTTCCTAAGAAATTGAGCACTCATCCGGGGTCCTTCTACCATCCCATGGCAGTGAGTGGGAGCTCAAGGCGCCCCTCAGCCAGCTTTGGTGATCTGTTCCCTTTGGTGGCAGCCGGCACTGGGTAATTGGTTGAGTACCCAACAGTGTCCACTCGAGACAGATGAGTAGTGGACTAGAGGGTCCATGAAGAGTCCACAGGGAAGGACCACTGAAAATGTCACCAATCAATGGAATTTTTAGGGAGTAAACCTCAGAGGGCACCCATAGAGGGTTGCATAGGTAAAGCCAGCAACGGGTCCTCGCAAAAGGGATGGCGATCCAGAAAGATCTCCAAAGAATCCCTTGGGAGAATGGTGAGGTAGTTTGCACCTTCTCCCAGAGGTAATTAAGGACAATCCATGCCGAGGAGCAATAAGGGGAGTTGGGAAGGGGTCTCAGCAACAGGGGACAGATGGTGTTGGTATGTTGGGAAAGAATGGGTTAAAGTGGAATGTGGAGGAATATGGTTAAGGCAAGTAGCAGCAGAAGACATTTATCATCAAAATTTGCCAGCTGATTCAGATGCAGCTTCCAGGACAAGGAAAACAAGGAAGTCAGGATGAAGAGGTGTTTCTTTATGGTGGGAAGTGGCAGGACCAGGCACGGAAGTGTGGGACTGTGAGCAGGTGCTTGGGGCTCGTGCGGAGGTGCAGGCCTGGGCTGGGGCCATGGGGCAGCCAGGGCTCAGCACCAGGCAGTACCTGACCCCACTGCCTCATCCCAGGCAGGGATGGCAGTGGCCCCCAAGCGCCATGAGGCTGCTGGACACTCCAGCTGCCTGTGGTGCTGCCAGCTGTGCCCACTGGGTGTGCCAGCAGGGGCTGTATTTGGACACTGTGGCAGAATGGGGACTGGCTCTAGTATATGGTGCATGGCAAAGAGGGTGAGTACAAAGAGAAGGAGCAAAGAATATCTGGGAAATGCAAATTGTACGTGGTAGGATTAGGATTTTCTTTTAAGGATTTGATTTGGGTCACTGAAGAAACAAATGATTTTGAGCTGTGCGAGAATGAGCACCCAGAGGCAGTAGCGGGGCTGGGGGCTAAAGAAAGGGCAGAATAAAGCTCCTGGATGAACTGGTTAGAAAGATGCAGCAAGTGTTTGTAAGAAGAGATGAGGAAAAGGTGAAGGCAAAGGTGATCTTACTGCTGCAGAGGGATAAACTGCAGGGCCCAAGGGGACCCCCGGGACAGAAAGGATCAGTTTGGCCACAAGGACGGGGCAGAGGCCTTCCCTCCTCAGCGGGGGAGAGCCCACCTAAAGAGCGTCTTGGAAGGAATCAGTGTACTGTCTGCAAAGACACTGAGAGCAAGATTGCCCGCAGAAATAACTGGATCCTCAGGAGGATCAAGTCCAGCGATGAATGGAGATGGATTGTTAGGGGTGTCGGGGTTCCTGTTACACCAGGGACCCACCACACTGGAGCCATTGATAACATTTAGGGCAGGTCTGGAACAGGAGGAGGGGTTTTCCTGGTAGACACAGCAGCCTCTCAATCCACTTTGAATTTTATCCTTTCAAGTGAAAAATTGTCAAGAAGTTCTTTAATTCTTCAGGGGGTAAGTGGAAAAGAGGTGGGGATGTGTTTCCTTCAACCACGATTAGTACATGTGGGGGGTAAGGTTTGAAATGCATGAATTTCTGTTTGCTCCTACTTGTAATTCTAAGTTACCTGGAAGGGATTTGCAAGCTACACTGGGAATGCAAAATAACATTGTAAAAAGTGATACAGAAACTAACCCTATTGTAAGTTTGTGTCAAATGTCTGAGAGAGCCTATGCTGTAGTAAACCCCCAAGTGTGGACAGTCCCAGGGAAATTGGAAAATTAGCTATGGGGTCTCTCCAAACTACTTTGAAGCAACCAGGATAAGTGGGGTCTGAAAAGTAATACCCCCTTTCCAAGGCAGGGAAAGAAGGGGCTGCAGCCTATTACTGAATCCCTGTTAAAGGCAGGTATTTTGGAGCCATGCATGTCTCCCTAGAATACACCTGTCCTGCCAGTTAAGAAACTGCATGAATGGACACCAGAAGGAATGCAGAATTTTAAACTGTTAGTGAAAAAAAAAAAAAAGCAGATTAACTGAAGCTCATGCTCTAGCCCTTCTGGACAGGGAAAAAGAATTTGAATTCTCTGTGGATGTTAAACAGGACCATACTAAAATAATTTTACTGTGGGAACACTGGATTACAGCAGCCTGTTGCCTACTTTTCTAAGGTTTTCAACCCAGAGGCCCAGGAGGCTGGCCTCATTGTCTGCAGAATTGTGCAGCTATGGCTTTATTAGGGGGGAGGGGGCGGGAACAAACCCATGACTGCATTCAAATGACAGATCTCCAGACAGATCTCCAGACCTGGGTTAGGGAAAATTTACGAGACACCCCCTGGCTTAAGGGAAGAAATGTGTTCATCAATGAGCCTTCACGGGTAGTAGAAGGGAAGCGAGTTACAGGAGATGATATTATTAAGGGAAGGGAATTAGAAGAAGGGAGGATGTTGCTGCCCACATGGTCAGCTCAGACTGTGGAGCTGTATGTGCTTGTAAGAGCCTGTGAATTAACATTCGTACTAATCCTAAGCATGCATGAGGAGTGGTACACACGTTTAGAAATCTGTGGGAGGAAAGAGGTTTATTAACCTGCAGGGGAAAAACCATTAGCGCATGAGAGCTTAACTACTTCTCTCTTGCAGGTGGTGAATTTACGAAAAAGGGGGGCAATGATGTACATTAGGGGACATCAGGCAAGGTACTTGGAGGAGGCAATAGGCAATTGACTGGCAGATGAAGAAACTCAAAAAGGAATACTTTTGCCAGAACTCTCCAAGGCTCTCCTTTTGCACCCAGTGACTCAATCACTGCCAGAGAAACTGTTTTTTCCACCAGAGGAGCTGGAGCTTTCCACCAAAAGAGTGGGGCAGATAGAAAAAGGGAATAATTGGTTTACAAGGGATGGCAAACAATGGAGACCAGAAGCTTTGGCCATACAAGTATTAGAACAACTCCATGAAGGGAGTCATTGGAATTCTGGAGGATTGGCAGAAGCCTTCCTCAAGATGTATTTTGCTGTGGGTCTTTTTAGTCTGGCAAAAGCAGCTGTTGAAGTTTGCTTGATTTGTGCTGAAGCCAATAACAGGGTAACAAAGAAAGCTGCCAGGGGAGGGAGGCCTTGGGCTGTAAGGCTCTTCTAAAAATGCCAAGAGGATTTTACTGAGGTGTCCCAAGTGGGAAGGCTTAAATATCTTCTGGTAATAGCATATCAGCTAATAAGGTGGCCAGAAGCATTCCCAACTGCTTCAGCAGCTGCAGCATCACCTATTAAGGTATTTTTGGAACAAATTATTCCAAGATACAGGATTCTAGAAGCAACAGACTCAGGGGAACTCATTTTACAGGAAAGATCCTTCAAGGGGTTATGGCTACTTTAGGAAAACAATGGATCCTCCATACCCCCTGGCACCACCAGAGCTTGTGTCAGGTAGAAAAAAAATGGAGAGAAATAAAGAAACAACTTTTTGAAGCTGGTAATAGCCACCAAGATGCCATAGGTAGGGCTTTTGCCATTGGCTTTGGCAACAGACGCAGAAGAGAGAATCAGTTCTCTTCCTTTGAATTACTGTTTGGAATTCCTCACCCAGGTAATTCTCAGCCTAGTGGGGTGTAGAGGTAAGTGATGTATATTCAAAAGAATACGTAGCCATGATAGTGTCTCTTTTGAAATCCATTCAACAGGAAGCTCAGCTGGCACAGTCCCTGCCTTTGACTTTGGCAGTTCATAACATCCATCCAGGGGATTTAGTCCTGCTTAAGGAGTGGAAAGACGCACCACTGGTGGCAAGTGGTGTGGAACTTTCCAAGTGTTACTGACCACAGAAACATCCATCAAGACAGCTGAACCCACCACACTCTGGTCAAGGTCTCTAAGACCCAAGAGATTTGGACATCTCAGCTGGAAAAGAAGGACAGCAGGCTCTAACTGACACTCCGCAGGAGTGATCTGGAGCAGCAGCAGTGTTGACATTGGGGCAAGCTGCATGTACCTAGCCACAGACTGTCTGCTGAAATAATCTGTATGGGCATCCTTCCTGTAGAATCTCCACTCACTGGGAGGCTACTACTTGCTGTCATTGTTTTCTTAGATGGTTTCTGTGCATTCACTGGCCACAGGTGGTGTGGAAGATAAAATGAGACAGCTTGAACTCACACTACATTTACTCATCAAAGAGTAATTATGACTGAGTTCTTTGTATGAAGCAGTGCAGTGCTGGAATTCATATGAAGAAGAGAAAAAAGCACAAGCAGCATCAGCTTTACTCAGTGACTGGCAATAGCCATGGTCTGGTTGAAGACTGAACCAGCAGCCTCTCCAGCAGTGCAGAGGGGTTGGGCTAACTGGGGACAGGGACCAGCCCACCTGCTGCCAGGAAACTGTTGGAGACTGGGCATGACCCTGTGTAACTCACAAATAACCCTGGCATTTCCACACTGCAGAAGAATTAGATACAAGGTAGGTGTTAACTGCAAACACACTGAGTAAGACGTATGTACAATTTATTTAAAATACTTTTTAACATATAAACCCCCCTCACTATTTATAGAGTCTAAGTCCTAGCAACATATACAAATACTGAGCAACTACAATACATGCTGAGGTAAGAACATACATTCTGGGAGAATACACAAGCCAAACAAGATTGAAATACATTCTATATACATGTCTTCACATGTAAGAGAGACCCATGAAATGTACCTTTCCTTTATTGTACACAGGGAAATTCTAGTCTTAGTGTGCCATGTAATTTAAACCCAACTGTTACATGTTCAAATGTATCTTAGCCCTAGCAGATAATATGTCCAAAGTCTGAAGCAGGAGCAAAGCCTGGGACCAAGTTCCTTCCAAAAAGGGGCTTAAATTTTAAAAACATCAATTTCTTTAACAGCTTATGCTCCTCAGATAATGAAGTTGCATTATGTTTTCTTAAAAAATAACCCACTGTAGAGAAACTGCATAATTCTTACACCACCTCAGCCTTCAGCTATCCACAGTTCTACCATTCCTGGTCTGCAGTAAAAATCAAATCTAGATGCGTTATTTATGGACACATCCATTTATTTTTATGATAGATTTTTAGATAGGCATTTTTCTATGCCTAAACTGGTACAGGTTCAGAATGGAAAGGATTGTTAACTTGCCTGTAGCTGTACTGTCACATCTTAGTGGAAACTAAGAACTTCCCACCCCTTGAAAGAAAATCAGCTCAGATAATTTCAGTCATAGTTGCTGCTGATAGCTAGGAACAGTACTTACCTGTTTAAGCAAAACTTAAAGACTGCAGACTAGTTTTGTCAGTCCGAAAAAGTTGCAGTAACAAAAAAGTACAATCACAGTCAGCAATTCGCTGTTCACAAATGGGTCTTATTTACCATCCTTACATTTACATTTAAGCTTAAGATACCGAGCTCTAAAACAAATAATTAAAAAATGTCATTCTCAATTAATGAGAATGAATGATCAGAAATTGTACAACTGGGCTTTAAGGTAGCACCGAGAATGTTCAGCATCTTTGTTGGTGACAGGGACATTTGGAATGAGCACATCCTCAGTGAGTTTGCCCACAGCACCAAGCTGTGAGGTGCCGTCAACATGCTGGAGGGAAGGGATACCATCCAGAAGGACCGGACAGCCCTGAGAGGTGACAGCTCCTGGAGTTGAAGAAGGTATTGTTCTACACCTGGGTCAGGGCAATCCCAGGCTCACAGATAGGTTGGGCAGAGAAATGACTGAGAGGAGCCCTGCAGAGAAGGACGGGGGGTGATGGTTGATGAAAAACTCAACATGAGCCAGCAATGTGCTCTCACTGCCCAGAAAGCCAATGGGATCTTGGGCTGCATCAAAAGCAGCATGGCCAGAAGAGTGAGGGATTCTCCTCTGCTCAGGTGAGACCCTACCTGGAGTGCTGCATCCAGCTCTGGTGCCCCCAATATAAGAAGGAAGTGGAACTGCTGGAGCAAGTCCAGAGGAGGCCACGAGGTTGGTAAGAGGACAGGAGCACCTTCCCTGTGGAGACAGGCTGGGAAGGTTGGGGCTGTTCAGCCTGGAGAAGAGGAGATTGTGTGGAAACCTCATTACAACCTTCCAGTACCTGAAGGGACCCACAGGGAAGCTGGAGAGGGTCTCCTTGTCAGGAACTGCAGTGGCAGGACAAGGGGAAATGAGTGGAGACTTGAAAGAGGGGAAGTTTAGGTTAGATAAAAGAAATTCTCTACTGTGAGATGGTGAGACACTGGAACAGGTTGCTCAAAGAAATTATGCATACCCCCATCCCTGGAAGTGCTCAACGCCAGGTTCAATGGAGCTCTGATCTAGTGGAAGGTGTTCCTGCCCATGGCAGGGGATTGGAAGCAGATGATTTTTAAGGTCCCTTCCAACCCCAACCATTCCATGATTCTACATAATATCATATTTTAGATGTTGAACAGGCCACAAGTGATTTTTGACCCCGGAGTTTATATACAGCCCCTCTGCAAACAGATTTTCAGGGGTGAGGATACTGTACTGGTGTTAAGGCATGGTGGCAGCCCTTTGAACAGCACTGCAGCTTCCATTCAGACATTGTCCACAGCACTTAAGGACCTGGGCAGTAAACACAGCTTTGAATTGCACCACAAACAGTAACCCCTGAAGTCCATAAAACTGGGCTACTGTGTAGGGAGGGGGTCCACATGTTTGAGTTGATTCAGCATCCTTCCAATAGTGCTGTTAGAATAAACATACAGCATTTTTATGGTGGGGTTTTCTCCTACTTAGGCAAGAAAGCTGTTTTTTTTCTAACAAGATAAAAAATGGCAAATATACCATTCAGACTGTTTTCATTTTGTGATTACCTAGCTAAAATGAGTCTACATTACCCCAGTAAATGACTGACTGCAATGTTTTCATAGTACAGAACACTGGAACATTCAAAGGATACAAATTCCAATAAATAAGTTTGAAATGGACACTCTTTGGAATAGTACTCGTTCATTTGCAAAGGTTTTGGAATCTTTCATGCTTCTAATAAGAACAATCATAAAAAAAGCCCTAAGGCTAAATTTGGCAGTTGTGCTAAAACGTACCATATGTGCTAAATGCATGTCTAACACAAACTGTGCACCATTAGAATATTTGTGTGCTTCCTTAAGCACTCAAAAAAGTATGTACAGATCTTTTTGTGTATAAGCTCACACCTGAACACAGAATAATGGACACTCTGGGGAGGGTAGGGCAGGGCCCTTCTCAATTCAAGTCACCTCCAAGACCTGAATGCTTCTTGCACTGAGCATCAGGGAAGTCTGACTTGGAGACAGATGATTTTCAAGTGGCCCTCATAAGCACAGGGAATAATGTAAAAGCAGTTCCCAGGTAGTTTGCTTTATCAGTCTTTGCCTCCTGGATTCCTAGGAAGAAATACGACTGAGTAGCTTAAGGTGAAGAGGCAGAAAAGAGGTTATACAAGACAGCAGCTTCTAGTTTTGCAAGGCTAACCTAACCAAGAATGCAGGAACCTTCTGAGGAACACACAGCTAGCTGAAAATTGCCAATTCTGTTAACAAAAGCTGAAATGACGTAATTCAGAATAAAAACTATTTTATGGCATGAAGCTAAAGGGATTTTTGTCATCAGTCCTGATAGCAGCTTGTTAAGACCAAAGTTGCACAGACATTTTACAATGAAAAGAGGAATTTCAGAAGCTGTAGTGCCTGCACAGCAATTAAGAGCTTTGGGTATTGAGGTGGGGCTTTTTCCCCCAAAAAACAGTACCATTAGGAAGAAATAACTGGCTTTTGTACTTAAACTGTTTCTCCTAATTTATCACCCACATCTATGAAGTACTGGAGCTAATCATGAAGAGTTCTTCTCTCATGTCTGACAGACAATTGTACAGTAGTAATAAAAAAGTCCATGGTTTTGCAGGAGACAAGCTGTTAATTGTACATGCAGCTTAAGGAAAAGCAGAATTAGTGTTTTCCCAGACCTCCCATACCACGCCTTTTGGTTCAACGTTGTATTACTTAAGACTAACAATACCAAAACAATTGAATTTAAAAAGTGAAACTGTGAGCTTTATGGAACTGGCTTTTAGAAACAAGCCATCATCCTACCTTACTCATGAGCTAACTTTGTTCATCCTTACTCACAGTGGGATGGGCCATGCTCTGTGGCACCTGGTACATGAGTTGGTCTGCACTGCCCGGCCCCAGCTGCCCCTTTGGTATATCGTACAGTGCCTGTGCTGAGGATGCACTGTCTGTCCTGGATAACAGTTTATTGCACGTTCCAATCAATGGAGGAGCTTGATTCCCTGCAGCTTTGAAGGTGGAAATGGAAGGAGCGCCAAGAGGTGTGCTGGGATGGCTGGACATGTCCATGATTATTGGAGTCGCATACTCGGGTCCGGTTACGGGCAGTGGCTCGGCATAGGTGTGGTAAACTTCTTGGACGGGGGAATTGTAAGGGTCCAAGTCAGCGTAACTGGTTTGTTTTCCTTCCTCTGGTTTGAAGGTTGATCTCTGGTGAAGCGTGCCCACAATTCCCCCTACCAGAGGCTGAGCATATTCTGTGTTGCAAGCCCCAACAAAACAAAACATAAATACACTTACTGGGTTGTTTTACAGTGGCATCACATTAAATACAGCCTGTCAATAGTCTGCCAAAGATCACTATCCTACATCAAACCAGTGGTCCATCTCTGTCCACCAGTGCCAATCGCTTTGGAAAAGGATTCCTTTCCACTCAATAGGTAAAGCCATTGAGACAGCCAAAACCAAAACATCCCCACTTCTCAGGTTTATACTTCTTCCCAAGTGAGCTGCAACTTCCCATCCTGCAAATCTGCCTGAAAATGAAGCTGATTGAAATGTTCTTCTATTTACATTAGATTTAAATAAAATTATTCTGCCTGGATCTGGATAAAAAGTGGTCCTTGGGGTGGAGTGTTTGTCCTCTGAGGGGGGAAGCTTGCAAGTAGTCTGAGATATTTTAGCTGAACAGATGATCTGAGTTACAAAAGCTGGAGGTGAAAAGCCTGACTAGCTGGGTAAAAACAGACAAGCAGCCAAACAAGAAAACTGATTCTGCCTGCAGTGAAGCTGTAATTCCTGCACATCTGCCCAATTCTGCCATCAGCAGGTAAGCGCAGAACCAAAGGCATAGTCAGTCATCCTCCTCCCATGCTTGGCTCACCAGGGAAAGGGCATGCAGCACTATCCATAAACCCTCCTTTTCCAGATCCCAAGTTTGATATAACCCATACAGTGAAGGTAGATAATCAAGTGCCATATTTCCAATTAGTGCATAAAATTATTGTGATTAAATTATTTCCAGGGTATGAAAACATAACCAAAATAATTCTTCCACACTTTATGAAGTTTAAAAACAAATAAGGAACCCTTCAGTTACTGCATTAACTTGGGGAAGTGTCTACCTATAGCACATGAAATGAGAGAGCAGACACAAAAAAGCCTGCATTTTAAGAGATATGCTTACCCACAGAACAACTCACTTCTCCTCTGTTCCCCTCCAAAACCAGGAAATAACTAAATGTAGCCAGATTTCTGACATATTTGGCACATCATTCATATACATACATACATATATATATAAAAAACATAGCCCACAAATTACCTGCAGACTCGGTTTGCAACATTGTTGGGACTTCTCTTGGTCTTAGGTGACTGATTTCACTGCTGCTGTAGCATACGGGAGTTTCTTCACGTTCTGCTGATTTATTCGGGAAAAACTGCTTCATCCCTTTCCACCATCCTTCACATGGATTAAAAAAAAGCAAAAAAAACCACCCAAGATTGCATATATACTGTGTTTTAAGCTACTAAAATACTTTTCAGCACAGCTTGTATTTTGTTGAAACAGGTAAATAACTCAATTATCACTATTTTGAGTAATACCCTAAGACATCAGAGCTGTGAGCTATCAGAAACAGATATGTAGCAAATTAAAGTGATTAAAAGGTTCCTTGTCTAAAGAACAAGACATACTTAAGACTGCCACTGAGCAGACACACAGGTGTGCAAGTTTTCAACAGAGGCCAGAGAAGCAAAGCACAGTCACCCAGCCGTACCAACCCAACTGCTGCACTGCCCTTTGCACCTGGGGCACAGGGGGTTTCAGGACCATTGCAAAGAGCTGCCTGGTGCAATTGTCTGATCTTAAGTTTATGAGACACAAGATGTTTGGATGGAAGATATACCTAAATCCCACATGCTTACTAGGGCAATGAAAACAAAATTTTTGACCCAACTTATACACTATGATGGAAGATTTTTTGCCAGGACAAAAAAAGTACTAAATAAATGATTATCAAATATACAGAGACATTCGTTATAAATTAATTTTTCCCCTCATGTTGTATAATTAAAAGGTTTTCTACTTCATTCACAAAAAAGCCTGAAGTGGTCAGATCTAACAGGAGACACAACATTTACTATTTCTGAAAAAAAGAAATCAGAGAAAGAAGCAAAGAAGCAGTACAATTAAGCTGGTCCACAAAAGAAATTCAGTTTGCTATGCCTCCCTCAGTTAGCATTAGAGAAGCTTCGCTAGTGGAAACTAACTGCAATCTGAAATAAACATTGAACAAAAAAACACTGAGCAAATTGTTTCATAAAACTATTTTGTTACCTGCACGATCCCAGTAAGGTACATCATATGTGTCCTCAGTTTTTTTCTTGCTGTGAAAAAAAAAAAAAAAAAAAAAGGAAAAAAGGGTTACTTTAACTAGTTTGCTTACCAAAAGATACATTAATTAATGCTCAGCAACTATCACCTTGGCTGTAACTGGTCCTCAAATTTAATGTATTAGCACCAGTAACCTGGCTTCCCATCACCAGTCTGCTGCTACCAGAGAAACCATTTTTCAGTCGAAGCACTTGCAATGAAAACAGTTAAAAAGCTGTTTTGTCCTCGCTAGTCAAGTGATTATTTTCTCAGAAAGAATGCAATTCTTTCCACAAGTGCAGACCAGAGTTCCCACAGCAATACATGCAGCATTTCATTCCCACACACCAGGCTAACATTGATTTAAAGCACTTTCATCCATCTATTTATTTACCGGTTTCTCCAATGCCACGCACAAACTAAGATAAGAATCAGAGTAGTGAAGACCATCACCAGCACTGGAACCAGAACTGCTGCCAATGCCACATCTGAAAGCCATTAAATTAAGTGGTGTCAGACAGAAAGAGCTTCTCATAAATCAATTTTTTATTTGAAAATTACTTGAGTACAGCACAGTTTTCATGTTTAGTGTCTATCACACCAGATCCCCCAGCTAAGCTACTCTGCTGGATGCTCCCACAGTGCAAACTTCATTTAACATCTGGCTCTTCTACATGCATGCACAGCTGGTGGTTTTGCAGGGTTTTTCATCGAAATCAATCAGTTTGTTTTAATATATGGTTTTTCTGTTACAATAATGTATTCTATTTTTTATGCAGAAAATCCCTTAGTATCACCATATAAGTTCAAACCTCCTTTAAGAAGTAAATTCCACAGCACCTTAACAGTTAATCCCAATCAGTCAGTGCTGGGTCTGTGTGTGACCCTATTCCTTGGCATCCAAAGGACACTTCAGCAGTGCCCACATCTGCAGTGACTTTGCTCCCTTTTCTGACCATTTTCTTTGATAAACAAAACGATTAGGCGACATTTTTCAAATTTCATGTCAAAAAAAACTGCTGCAGAAAAGATCTGCTATATCAAAGGTGTTTTGTTCTAAGAAATTATTAAATAAAGCAGCTACACCTGATTAATTCAGAAGGGAAGTCCAAGTTACAACTTCTCCTTCTGACAAAGTTTGTTCAGTGATTAAAAGCTGAACGTTGTTTGAACAAGCTCTGGAAGATGGAACTATTATATATCTATAAAATATATATTTTATATACATGTACATTATATATATTACTCGGCAGATCTTCATCATGCACATCTTTTATCATTTGTGTATTTAATAACTGGTAAATATTAGAAATAAAATATTGATAATCTGCTGTAATTTGTTACGTTTTGAGAAAATTTCAATGCAGCAAGCACATTTAATATATGCCAAAGCACTATAAGGAGTTACAAACATTTCTATTGTCTAACGATGGATACCTTTGGTTACACTTGGAGTCACTGTAGTGTTTTTTATTTCAGGTGTGAAAGTTGTTTTATCTGTCTGCAGTGAAGTCTTCACTGAATGAATGAAGTCATCCACAAAGTCAGCATTCTTCTCATCATTCTTGTTCTGAGGCGGTGCTGGCAAGGTGATTTTAGGAGCACGACCTTCAGAAGAACAGAATTTATAAGGTAAGTAGTTTGAAGTGCTAGTTTTCCATATCTCCTTTTCAGGAGAAGACAGCCGGAACAGTTTGCTATAAAGCTTTTGTTCATGTTACATAATGAGGAAACCCCCCACCAGGAATCAATGACATGGAAAGCAAGTGATTGGATCTTTTGACACACTTATTTTGCAAATTACCTTGTGTACACCTAAATTCAGTATTTTCCTCGTTAAGCGCAGTAACTTTTGGATAAACTCAGATATACTAGTTAAAGAAGGATTATACAGCCAAGAAGTACTTCAGATTCACTGAAAATATACCCATGATATAACTTTTAATCTTAGTAATTTCACTTACAACTTTAATAGTTTCACTTCTTGTCTTGCACAGTTGAAAGTTTTCAGTTGTCTTACCTATACTAAACTGACATCCTAGCAATTCTACTTTCATTGCAATTTTCTGGTGCCATTTTAAGGGGTTAATCCTAAAAAAACGTGCAATAATAGGTGGAATGAAATTATTGCGAACTTCCTGGTACAATTCAGTATTCCCTTGAAATATCTAGAAAAGAAGGGGGAAAAAAGAGAGAAACATTATGTTCTACAAATACAATAGCAATTGAGTAAGTACTACCTATTTTGATGTTTTATTTAAGAAGAATAAACAGTGAAGGATTCAATTCATCCCAGAACAATGCTGCTGCCTGCACTTGTCCACTCCCTTGGCCCCATTACATTTACAACTAAACAAAACAAAGAAAGGTGTGTGCACATGTATGCACACAGCTACACAGTTCAGAGTAAAGGTACCATGGAATATCCTACTGATGCTCCCCAAGCACAGCCTGCTGTTACACACATGTTTATGGCACTGAATCATTGTAACTCCTTCTTGGTATTTTACACTTACTCTTCACATATACACAGATAGCAAGGAGTTGTGACACTGTGCAAGCTGGAATTAAGTGGTGCCTTCACACAACCCAGCAGTTCAGCACAGCCTGTCTGAGGATGGTATTCATTAGAAAGCACTAGGAGCACCCTCCAGTGTGTAATCACACTGTCCTCTCGTGGCTGTTGCCTGCAAGTGCTGAGCCACAACAAAATTTTGGTTCAGAATGTGAAAGCTCTCCTCAGTCTCACACTGAGCCATGAAGTTCTGCAAGAGAAGGGCGCAGACTTTGCATGAAGGATGTGCTCAAGCTGGTCCTTCACTGCCATCCTTGCACACAAAGAACTCATCAAAATGTGACAACACATAAAGAGTCTGGCTGAAGTTTAAAAGCAATGGGCAGAGTGCCTGTGAGACGCAATGCAAGCACACTGACAGATTTACAGCCAACCACGGGTTTGTCACTCTCGAGCTGCTTAAAACAATACAGCAGCTTGGCCCAGTACTCCAACCCTCCCCCTCCTTCAGGAAGACTTTGGCACCATGTCTTTTGGTAGGAAGTGAGCTGCCTCTCCATGTTTGTGCACAGCAGTAGGGCTTTGGCCCTGCACATGCAACTCTGTGGTGCTACTGCAACACAGGTCACCACTGGGATGACAGTAAATAAGTTCTTTCTTTTGAAGCACGGATACAGACATTGGAAATCATGGTGGACACAATGCAAAACACAATTATGGCACTTGCTTGAAAAAACTCAGCATTACAAGGAGTTTTCGTCTCACTTACACCACTTGGTAAGCAATAAAGCTCCCTGCCATTCTTAAAGACAAGCACTGCACTGTGCAACAGCTGATGTGTCTGCATAACAAGGAGCAGTCAAGAGCTTTTAGCACATCTCTCATCAAAACAAATCACTGCTGTTTCCATCTTGATACACAAGAGAAGAGACTTCTGTATTGCACTGCTGAGTTTTTGAAAAAAAGTCTAGAATATCCCTAGAGGCCTGAAATAATTATTCTAGGAAACTATCCATTCAAAACAAGTCCCTGCTCTGAATTTAAGCTTCTTGTTCTTAAATATATTCAGTAGCAAGAAATGAAGACACAGTAAATGCAGGGGCAAGCCTATGTTATTTTGGATATAACTTAATAGCACCAAGTAGTTGAAGTTCATGTGCCCACAGCAGACTGGGCCCCAATTTACAGCCACTTTTCCCTTACTAGTTTGTTTTGGTTTTTGATGCTCTGTTTAGTTTTTTTTTTAATGACAGCCGTGTAGCTACAGATCTCACTAGCAATTTTTTTTTTGTTTTGGTAAGGATGCAAGTGAGAAGCAAAATAAGAGAGGTGACTTCCTGAGGGGATGCACCCATTCCTAATTGCTGTACTGTATCCTTGCTTGTGCTGTGCCTGCCAGAGCTCAGCAACAAAAGAAGGCACATCTGGCTACCCAAGCAACATATGCAGATGTTACAGAGCAAGGACACAGATGCCCAACTCTTAAAGTTGGATCTCGTGTCAGGTTTCTGAGGCTGAGCATCTAACAGCAAGGGCAAAAATAAGCAACACCAACTCTTACCTTCAAGAAGGATTACCAGTGAAGGTCTTTACTCCAGGCTTATCTCAGTCAAGCTTTTGACATCCAGTGTTACAGAAGTAACTTAACTTTACCTGCAGCTCTGTGGTTTCTGTTACCCTAAATTTTGCATTAAAAAATAATTTGCTTCTGAGCTAAATACAGCACTAACTTTTTAATGAGAAATCACTTTCATAGTCTTTTTATTATCAAACTCTTTCCATTTCCCTCTGTGCTGTTAAACAAAGCTTTTCCAACTCTCATTTGTCCTTTTCCCCCAACTCTCATTTGTCTTTTTTCCCCAATTCAAGCATTTACTCTTTTTTTAATCCATGAAAAATTAAGAAAAGTGTTTCTTGAGTACTGTCAAATCTCTAAAAGGTATTTGCAAAAAAGACTACAGGAAAAGCTTGGAAAAGCTTCTAGTCTCCTGAAAAACATTAGGAATTCCAAACATATTTCAAAAAACAGGGACTAGCACCTCCCAGCTGGTCTGGCATGCTAAAAGGAAGAAGCCTGTAAGCAGATGCATCCAAAAGCAAATCGGTATCAAGTGAGCTGATAGCAGACAGAGAGAAAATCTGATACTTTAGAAAAATAGAAAAACGGAACCATTTTTTTCTGTCATTTAACTACAGCTGCCAGTTCCTGGGTACACATGATTCTTCATGCTCTGTCCCTTAATGACACACAAAACACAAAGAAAGATTTGTTGCCTGTAATTTCAGGCTCCACAATTTTTTTTTCATTTCATGAGCATGCAAAAGGAACAATATGCTCAAATTCTAGGCAATAACTGCAACGTTTTTTAAAGAAAATTGTCTAACACTGAAGGCAATCAAGGCAGCTTGCTAACTGAGATCTTATTTTATGGCCAGAAGAGGGCGCTCAAAACTGGCAAAATATGCTGTTTTTTTCCTTTTTTTCTTGAATACTTCACACCAACAGTGACTTTAGTTCACATGTAGGCTCAGACCCGACAGTAAATTCTCCCCCTCTCTTCCAAGAGTTTTCTACTGCAGTTATATTCAGTGCTCAAATATCTCTTAATTTAACAAACTTCAGCCTATTACTTCCACAGGATGATACATCCTACCTTGAAACATTCTTAACCCAGAGTAAAGAGAAGACCAAAGACGAAGTGACCATCCTTAAAACCTGTTTCTAAAAAAACTACCAGACTAGTAGTTACAGTTACATGTACTTAATACCACCGGCCTATAGAACTCCGATAAACTACATCCAAGGAGTTTATGAAAAAGAAAATCTAGTTCCAGTCACATTACTAAGAATCTTGTAATTTCGTTAAGAAAATCTGATCTGAACCACTGGGAAGACAAGAATTTTCTCATTTTTGCTGTCTATTAAATACTGCAGAGCTGTAAACATGGGGAAAATAAGATTATCTTGCTGCTAATATTAGGGACATTTTCTGTGTAACAAAACATTTGCAATCTGAACATATCCCTCCCTCTGCAAGGGCTGTTCTCTTATATAAGAAACTTAACAGTATTTGCTTAAAAATTAAAATTGACAGAAACATTAGAAAACATGAAAAAATATACAACCCATTACATTTATTCTGTAACCATAAGAGGATAAGAAAGTAAAGCTTAATTTTAAAATATATAACCTATTTTAAAAGAAACAGAATTATTATTGAAGAGATGCAGTACCAGAAAACCTACCAGTGGCAACAGAAGTTTCTTGTATAGAATATTCCCATCCCAAATAGTAATGAAAATAACATCTGAATTTTGGAACTGTTCAAATCTTTACATATTTGCATATTGTCATATTTTCTTCTGCTTATCTGTTGTTTATGATTCAAAATAACACTGAAAATGAAAGTTATTTAATGATTCCTCACCATACCAAAATGACTTATATTTACAATTGTGAAATCTCCTTACAACATACCTAGAAACTATGTGGTATTTTTACCTTATCTTTACCCATGCCAGGTTCTCTGTACACTGTCCACTTCTGTGCATCATCACTGTATAAAATTCTGTAGGCTGAGACATAATAGTAGTGCTCTGCTAAAGTTGATCCAGTAGTTATAATACCTGTGAAAATTGAGGCACCCAGTTAGGATAAAAAATTGGTATCACTTTGTAAAAATTAACAGATCAGTTTTTGAATCTAGAGCTGTATAGTGGACAGTCTTAACTGGTCCAGTTAACTTCAAGAAGATTATCCAAAGGGCCAGGGTGTGAAGTTTCCACAGTGACCGAACTTTGTAAACTCATTTTACTTACTTTGTATTTTAGTTTCATGATATAACCTTGCTAAGTCCTTCCCCCCATGCCCCATTTCTTGATGGAAACAGCCCCTTCATTTGACCACAGCTCACTCCTGTCTCCAGCTGCTGACACAGCTTCTCCCTGCGCTTGTACTGCCAACCTAAAGGCACCACTGAAAGAACTGCAGCTTCCTACAGCTGACACTGCAGCGCTGCAGCACAACTCACACAAAGCTGTTTTGGAAAGGCTTGTTAGCAGAAGAATTAGTGGAGTAATGCAAAATACAAAGAGTCTCCAGGGAGGTAGCAACAAAGACCACTGGTAAATCCAAGTTGCTTAATGACAGCAAGCCACGCTGCTCATGGCAGAGTGTGCAGCTGAGGTTACAGAGACCAACTCAGGCATTTTGGAAAGAGACAAACACAAACTGATCAGTGGAACATGTTTCACAATAGCCTTAAAGCCCTGGACTCTATGAAGCACTCAACCTAAATCCAATTTAATTTTGATTTACATCAGATGACAAACATGCCTATTAGCAACAGAAATTCATCTCTGAAGGATTAAACCAGAAAACACTAACACTGGCACTGAAGGTACAACTGCTGCACAGCTATCCTGGAGATTAAACCCAAAATGCCAACACCTCAGTGCTGATGCTGGATTCACTGTGGCCGTGACAGGCACTAAGGAAAACCTAGGAACAGAAGTCACTACACCTGCACCAGAAGTACCAGCTGACTGGATTTTGATCTGCATCTCCAAGGAGACAATGAGCAGGAAAAGGGAAGAATCAAGGATCCAATAAAACCACAGGAAACACTTCAACAAATTCTGATGGAAGAGATGTCTTCTACTATGAAACTACACCTCTTCAGCTCCAGGCTCCTCAGTGTATTAGCCAGTGTATTCCAGGACACGGAAACAAATTAAGTATAATGGTAATTAAGTGCCACCTGAGCTTTATCTAAGGCCCAGCACTTGAAAAAAGGATATCAGTAAGCAAAAATTTTGAATGCTGCTGAGAAGTCACATCAGATTCACTTACCTGTTATTTTCTTTTCTTTATTCAAGTCAATCTGCAACCACTGATGTTCATCACTGATAAAAGCAGCCCAAGGAGGTCCAACCCTTTTTAGTCTGGCATTTTCAGGTTTCCAGATGTTTACTTGTCCCGTTTGGTTAGGCCACTCAAGAATCGATGATGATGTGATGTGGGAATCAGGAATCACCCCAGACTCCATCCCCAGTGTCCCATAGCAACCTGAACAACAGAAAAGGTGAGGACTGCAAATGAGAACTGAAGTTATGCTGCTTGGATTTTAAGACTTTACATGCAAATATTAAATTGCCATCTAAATTTATTCCATAACAACAATACCAACAAAACACACTGTCTTTTGCTTTCTAACAGGGATGTTCAAACTAGTCACGAGAATGCCATGATTTGTGCCTGTTCCAAGAGTAATGTGGATATTCTCTCAGTCACTACACAGAGCACTCAACGAGAAGCACTGGGGAACCTTCATGGTCTAAGAGTATCTGTGGTTGCTGCAAGAAAGGGAAACAGGCTACTGGTTCATTAGCTCCTTTCTTGTGTCTGTATAACTTCTTGGGTTTTTAAACCAACCCCAGCATCACAGTGTTAATTTGAATAAAACCAAAGCATGTAGGAAGTCATGTCATAATCCGGGCCTTGAGCTCAAACACATCCTTGAAATTAGTTACATTTTTCTGGTTACCATTCTTATTAAATGTTTCTTTCCATATTGCCTTCTGCTGGTGGCTGAAAAACATCTCCTAAATTCAGGGCTGAATTTTCTCGTTCTGTAATACCAATGGTTTTCCCCTCTCACAAGCACAGTCCTCAGAAGTATCAGCAGAGAGCAATCTTTGCCTTCCGTCAGGCAGGCGGAACAACCCAGCCTAGTTCCCCTTCTCCTGTGAACTCCCCCTCTCCACCAAGGGGGGCACTCATCCCTCAAGGAAGGCACAGGTGGCATAGCCCAGTGTGACTGGATCCCAGAGAAAGTCTTGCCCATGTCCTGTGAGACGCCATTAGTAGTTTACTGTTTCTGCTGAATGTATGCCACCTGCCACAGCACAGGTTCATTTCACTAAGGGAATTCTTCCCCTCATCTGTCATTTTCCATCTAATATGCTGCCACTTGGCAGCACAAATGCCTCAGTCTTTAAATACCTGCTACATTCCACTCTTTGCTCTGTGATGCTTCAGTTAATTTCTATTGAGTCTCAAAGTCAGGCAGTTCTTCCTGCATAACTAGTCTCATCTTCCTCTGCAGTGACCACGCCTCCAGCACTAGTAACACACTCCTATACTTCATACCAAGTCATGAAACCAACTGCAACAGCAGGAACACACTAGGACCTTCACCACAGTCTGATGAATCTCACTTGAGCATACTACAGGGTTTTTTTCCCCTCACCTAAGTCCTAGGTAACCCAACTACAGACATTTTATTCTAGAGCTACATCTTGTCTCTAGTTAATTCAATTTCTCATGTGTCACTGAAGTTCACAGTCTAGACCAGCATTTTTTTCTATCTCTTCCAATTTCCAAGGCCATTTAATTACTTTCATACACACTATCAGATCACACTGTGAAAGACAAAAAAACCCAGCAAACCCTGCCTGGATCACTGTGTTTAATATTCTTTATGCATAAGGACACTAGACCTGTAATTCCTTCTCTCAGCTCTTGCAGATGCTGAGAGAGAAATAATTTTAATACTAAATGCACTGTATTTTCTAATTTTTCCTTATTTATACATTTCCATTGCCAAACACCCCTGCCCATCAGATTCCTGTCTTTATATCCCCATCATGGTGCCTTGATTTATGTATTAGGAAAAGCATTTATTTATTTTGAGAAGTATGTGCATGATTCCCCCTCCCTTCTTTTTTTAACTTTATCATTATGAAAGACAGATGTGATGGCTTTATGGTCTTTACACTGTTATTAGAATAGTTAAAGAGACTAAGGAAAGGCCACTGTCTTCACATTATTTCCAACATCCACTCAAAGACGGCATTTAAAGTGACTTAGAGAAAAACTAGCTTCCACTTAGAAAACTACAGCTAATTTATTTAATTACCCTGAAAGAATCTCTTTCTGCAGATAAGCAAGGCTTACTCGAAACACTTCTGTACCTATAAATTAGTGATGATTAATCATCAAGTTGAGATAGTAAAACAATTCAAAAATATACATTATTGAAGAATGCAGTAAAAAAAGGTCTCACAAGTGAGAAAAAAATTAAGAAATCAAATACCTGCACACCCACCTCTATTCACAAAGTTTGTATGAAAGTAGTAACAGGTAACACATGTGACACTTACCACTCGTCTTAAAGGTGAAGAGACTCGTAGACAAGGGTCCCCTGCAGAGAACAAAAGGTGATGTTTTGCAGTACGCAGTGAGAAAAATTGAAACAAACTGTCTTCAATTTATGTTTCTTGTCCTACTGCTTGCCGCTGAATCCTATGCACATGTGCCTGAACAAGCACTTAATGATTAACACATCCTGCCAGCAAGCTGCAGCGCTTTCAGGACAAGGACAAACACCTTCTCAAATGAAATCAAGCCCAGAGATACTGGGTTAAATACTTTCAAAGCAACATCCACCCAGCAAAATGCAAGACTTCATTAAAATGCTTTATTTTCAAATTAAGCTAATCATAGTAACACAAATCAGTCTCCTGTGATTGCTTTCATTTGTGGGACTTGAAATACAACCGAAAGCTACACACTTTTCCTGAAACTGAAAAGCTGCAATTAAATAACTGTTTTTACACAGACCAGTAGGAATTTATAGCCAAAAAGGTAAAAACTTGCAGAATTCGGAAAATGAAAATTTACGGACTAGAGATTAAAATTATTTGGTAAAACAATTTAGTAAAACAATTACACTACAGCAAAAGCGTGAGAAATTTAGAGAAGAGAACCTGTCCAGGGAACACATAGGTCCACGAGCTGAAATTAATCCCGCAATAAGACCACACCAAGACCTAAGGTGCTAAAGATAAGGAAATTATACTTACACTTTTGAGGTGACATTGTTAGCCAGGGAGCCTTCATAGTACGGAATGCCTTTGCTGATTACAACATTAATTTGACCACCCAGAGTATTTGACATGACACCTGCATGAACACCGGCCATACAAAGTGATGATGACTTGAAGAAGGAAGGGAAAGAAAAATTTCATACTACTAAGTGAATAAATTAAACACCACACCATATATTGTAAATGCTACACTGTCCAGTTACAGTCTTTGTTATTATTACATTAAAATACTATTCTTAGTTAACTGTTATCTTGGTTATTTAGAAACCATTCATCTTTATTTATTATTGAATTCATAAAAACACAAGAAGAAGGCCCTACATTTCACCGTGTCTTCACCCAGCTGCATTTAGAATGTAACTGTTGTAATTAAATGACCTCAAACCAACACCAACACAAGGTGAATCAGTCTGAAAAAGCCAGACAGCCAGGCTCAGCCTATAATAAATTAGACAATAAAACACGTGAATACATAGAAAACTTTTTAACAGAAATCACATTAAAAGTATGTTTGCTTATTTTCTCACAATTAAGGGGTGAGGCACTGCACATTTTGTAGCTTTCAGCTAAGGGGTTTTTTATCATAACTTGCGGTTAAACATGGTTTAACCATCCAGCACTGATCCACGTAAATCCACAGTATACATGCATACAACTCATCCTAAACAAGTCAATTACCTATGTTGTACAAGTCAGTGGAGACCAGTAATAAAAATGTTCTTGCAAGTATCATGTTTTTGCCTATTCTCCTTGGATGACAGAATCTACTAACAAATGTCACAGTGACACTTCACTGGCTTGCAGGCTACAGGTGCCACAGTGAGCAGCACTCATCATACCACGTCTGTCAGGCTTGCCCAGAGCAAGCTCACATCCAACGTTAGTCTGGGATCAACACAGCTCTCCTCTCCATCAAAATAAGAGCATGAGATTCAGGAGGAGATGCAGCTCTCTCCTCCCTGCTCACCAGATGTCAGCACTGAGAGCTCCAAGCCCGCAAGAACTTTGAACATTAGGGTCACACAGAAAAGAATCAAGACTTTGGCTATTTTTTTAAAGCACCAAACAGTCCCCATACATTTGAAAGAGATGCATAAGAAATCTCAACCTGAAACTTGGTCTAAAGTGCTGGACAATTTCATTTTTTTCCACACAGCCTGACTTCTGGGAAATTCCTAGCCTTTTTTGGTTGATAAAGTATACAAAAAGAAAGTCACAGAGAATTTATTTCCTTAAGTTTCCTTAGGAAAAGGTTTTGTTTTTCTCCATAGAAAACAATTATTCCAGATTTTGGCAAAAAACTCGCAACAAGCAGAACTCCTACAGATGCTGTAAATTTGTGAAGCAGAGAATCAATTTAATATTATTACTAGCTACAAAAATTACCTTGCAGCGACTTAGTGAGGACTCACTGGGGACCAGAGCATGTAATACAGTTACACTGTGGTGACATTTTTACATGGGGGTGATTGTTTAATCAAGTAGCCTGGGATTTACAAATATTTGGGGAAAAAATAAACAGTCACATTTTAAGTTTGTATTTAATACTAAAATCTTTGGTTACTAACATTTTTACATTGTGTTATCTCTGTGCTACATCTAAGGGCTTATTAAAAGAGTATTTTAAAATAAAAAGCAAGGATTTAATGTAATTTTTAGTAGACTGCTAGCAAAATTATAATAACTTAAAAATAAACAAAGCAAACATCTGCCCATCCTATGGCAAGTTCATTAATTGACCTGTAAAGGCTTACATTAGAAAAATACTGTATAGGGTTTTGCAGTGTTTTAAGTAAACAATACATTATTAAAGATGCTCATTACCAATTTACAGAACTACTCTTACAGTATTAAATTTGTTTTGCAAATTATTTTATAGCTGCTGAGCACAAACAATATTTCATCTCTAAAGTGTAACAAAAATCACCACTAGGACACTGCTGAAAGAGGTATTACTTTGTCAAAAACAAGAGGACATCATTAAAATAACTGGTTCTTTCTTTAGAAATCCAAATTTCCCAGCCTGAGAAAACCAAGTAAAAGAAAACGGGAAGTAGAAAAAACCCACTCTTTTGATTGATCCACCCTTCTCTGCAGGACTTATGAAAGTATTTGAGACTCCACTACAGTACTCCACTTCTTGGAGATAGCAACACCTAAAGCACCTGTCATTTAGCACCAGTGCTAAAAAATGCCACCAGTGCCGTGTTATTCACTTTTAGGAGGTACAAATCCCAGCATACAGGAAGCACAACTAATGCAAACAAGTACAACTGACTTGCATTATCCACCATGTGTTTTACAAAAATTCACCTGAGCCCATGGTATTTTCACTTACATCTCTGTATCCATGAGGAATAGTGCCTGAAATATCAGCAAAAGGAATCACACATCCAGCTGGACAATACTTACTGAAAGAGAACAAAATATCAAGTCAGGATATGCATGCACCTACAACTCTCTTACTGTTATAAAAAAGTTACGGTTTTGATTTACAAGACTCTGCTATTCATGGATCACTATGTAATGATATCACCTAATTGAAGACCGATCAAATCAGATCAAAAATACTCACAAGTATCCAACAGGAGGGCACACATTTGAAAATGTTTTAAAATAAGTCCCAGCTGAAAGTACAGTTCCAGTATCAATATGATGAATTAATAAAGCATTTTATATTATGAATAATATGTGGCTCCTGTAAATTCAAAGTCATATAACTAAAAATATTAATGAATTGCATTTTATGAACTAGAGACCTTCATATCTATTTGTTTTGCACCCTTAAATAAAGCATCTGAAACGTAATGCTATTTCATAACAGCTTTTGGCAATGCTTAGATCATAAAAACTGGCCAAATTACCACTAGCTCATAAAAAGCAAGAGGCAAGACACCAGCACCACTGGAGCAAGGCTGTGTTCATGTTCTAGGACCATTTCATACTGCACACATGAAAATTATTACATTTTCAAGAGCTAAAAGTAAAGTGGAGTAAAAGCATCAACATTTTCACCACAGCTCAGCAACAGCTGAAGCAATGCTGTAGGTTCCAAGAAAACAGGGGGATTCAGAGACTTTGTCGCACATTGACTAAGGCCAGAACCTACAATTAGAGCCCTATTTAGGAACCTGGGAAGATGAAGGAGAAACGCAAAGGTAGCACTTTGAAGTATTTCAGGTTGCCACGGCTTAAGTTCTCCAAAAAATAAGCTTAGACACTTCACAGTAGTCTGTAGCTTTAAACACTGGCCTTGCTTTAGATGGAAATGGGGAAGGAGACAGCAGGGAAATGACACATTTTCCCCTCCAGAATGTACAGCATTCTGTGTCTCCACAGAACCTCATTAATGAGCACCAAACTGTGAAATGGGTCTGCAGTTTCTAATACATGTCATCATTTAGTGCTCCTTTGGTGACTGCAGTACAAATTTCAGTAATTAAGTTGTGTACCTGCTAAAATATATTTATAAAAGCAATATTCTTCTATGAAAATGAGATATGAGCTCCTATGTGTTAGTACAAATTAACGAGGTTCTACTGTATACTGCAAGTAAATAACACAAATGGGAGAGACAGGAGGAGGAAGGAGGAGTGCAAATGTCAAAATTCTTCAGCTCTAACTCTAATTAGTTTGTGCCTCAAGTTCTCTGGATGGCCAATTTTCAAGCTGCATCAGAATATGTAACAAAGCAAAACAGAAAAACTAAAATTACTTCATTAAAGAGACTGGGAGGAAAACAGGTAAAAATCAGTCTTACTTGAATTCTGGTTCGGAAAAGTGACTTGCATTGTCTAAACAGGTAATTAAGTCTGGAAAGAAAAAATGTAAGTCAAAAGGATGAAAAAGACAAAAGGTTGAATATGCTTTTTAAAGTGCACGAATACATACATTTGAGCCTCTGAGGCTTAACAAAAAGTCTCAGAATGAAAAAAACATATTCCTACTAAATTTTCTTGCAACAGATTTTATATCACAGTAGAACCTTGCTAATTTGTCTGAGTAACTGGGAAATCTACTGAGAATATGACACTAGATAATACAAAAATTCATTTTCTGGGCAGCTTAATTTTAATTTATAGCTATATTTCAGAGACCAATCAGAAACAAACATATGCTCCTTCTACAAAATTAAATTAAGAAGATAAAGAGGCATGTGGTTTCACCATTTAATGGTTCTGCAGTGCTGAACACAAGCACCACAGAGAACAAATGTTAGAATGCCACATTATTGGCATCCATGACTGATACCACAAATTTTGTGTTTGTGTCTGCTGTGTATCAACACATACAGTCCAAAATATAGAGAGGAAAGAATCAAAAACCCTACAAAATTAAAAACTGAGACTCTTCATCTGTTCTTTTTATAATAACATCCAGATAGGGTTTTTCATCTTCTGAGGCAGTTGCTGCTGCTCCTTCTTTTCCTTGCAGACCACATGTATCACTCACCTTTACAATGAGTGGGAGGAGATGCACAACAAATACAGCAACCTCTTTCAGAGGCTTAAAAGAACTAAAACCGGGGAAAAAAAAAACAAGAAAAAGACAAAAAATAGTCTGCAGATTATGTCATTAAAGAGTTAAGGGAGTACAGGAAATAAAAATTTCCTACTGAAATAAAAATTTCCACGAGGTTAGTCTGTGTAAAATATATATAGTTCGATTAGAGAACTTTTTAGCTATCTGCCAGCTTTACTACTACCTGAAAAAATGCATTTTGTCCTGAATCTGAAGCAGTCCTTTCATTTATAAATGACAATGACATTTTTACTCTGCTATTCAATGTAAGCTTTGATACCATTTCTTTAGAACTACAGCAACTTTTAGGTAAGCAGTCAAATTTCCTACAGAGAAGTATCATGAAAGTGTACTAAATTTTTAGAATTTAATTTGTAAGAATGTGGGAATAAATGAACTGGTTCTGTGTTTTTACTAGACAGCCCTAATTCTGCCAGCAGAGAAAAATCACCAAATAATTATAAATACCTGATTTGTCAGTGGTTGAATAAACTGCAAGAAATCCACGTCCAGAACTGTGAATTCCACTCATGAACTGTACTGTGACTTCATTACTTTTTGAAGTAATTAAACCATCCATTTGAAAGCCAAACCCACAGTATTTTCCTGTGGAGAGAAGGAGAACAAATACTGACCCAAAACAACACATGTAATAGGCATCTTAATTCAATTTCCAGCCTCTTATTTCATCTGCATGTAGGCACACATTAGTTCTAGCGTATACTCAAAAGCAAATACATGAGAATGACACTAAATAATGCTTAGTGACCATTTAAAGCAAATGGTAGACTGTGAGTTCCACATTTGTTTTGTCACTGTCAAAGGTCTTGCATACCCCAATACCTGCAGATAAATGTGACCTTATCCCATTCACCTCTAGCCATGCATAACCTCCATACTCAGAGCTTCAAAGAACATGAGGAATCTCGCAAGGAAAAATATCAAGTTAGGACAATGAGAAGCATCTACAGAAGCAAATGAGAAAAAAGCCCTCCTTTTCCCAAAGCTGCTGGAGCACTTCCTCCTCATAGACTCTTCCATGTGACTCTGTCACGTACTTTCCCTAATTCTGGAAAGCAGCACACACAGCTCACTGCATTTCAGCAGTACCATACATATATCATATCACAGGTAAGCACCATTAAGATAAATTACCAGTTAGCTTACTTTCTATTTTATCACACCTAAAAAACGTAACTGTGGTATTCACATATTCTTTGAACAGAGAGAGACATAATTCTCTCTCTCAGGATGTTCCTGGGAAGCTGAAAGTCTGTGAGAAAGCTGAGAAAAAGAAGAAAAACAATTCTTATCTTCACTTGCTGCATCTGTTGTATGGCATATGTGGAACGTGTTATGGAGATTGCTTACCAAAAGGGATTTGTTAACTGGACACTGATGGTGGTGTTTTGGATTGATTGACCAGTTAGGTCAAAGCTGTGTCGTGACTGTCTGTAAGGGTCATGGCTTTTTCTTTAGCATAGTATAGTATAGTGTAGTATGTAGTATTATATAGTATAGCTTAATAAAGCATTTGTTCAGCCCTCTGCAATCATGGAGTCAATGCTTGTTATTCTGCCAGCGACAATACATAACAAAGGTTCTGTACCTGGGTGCTTCTCTTGCCATAGAAAATAAACAAAAATAACACCATTTCAACTGCTGGAGTCCACAGATATTGACAGTATTTGTCCTATGAAGTTCTAGAATTGATACCACATTCATGGATGAATGACTGTTAAATAGGCCACAGGCAATATGGAGTTCTCCAGTCCTACTAACTAGAAGCTTTAGTAAAGATACTGACCAGTTAATTAACTTGTTTAGAAAAAATAATCTTCTGTTCTACAGGCTACTATGATAATTCGATATTGTAGAAACCATCTATAACCCTATTCAAGATTCTGCAGTGGATAAGCAAAGTGGATAATCACCGGCAGTAAATGACACTGCCTCTGTTTCAGCTCATCATTCCACTTGCTTTCCTCATAATGAGTATGTTATCATATAGGAGAAAGGAGTCTTGCCTCTTTTTCTGCTCTTTCTCAAATAAAGGCAAATTACCATACTAATGTAGAGGAAGTGGAGTAACACAGTCCTGCAGGAATAGCTCTTAACAAATATAATACAAAATAAATATAATATGTATGTCAATTTCCTTTAAAAAGTGAACTGCACTCCCAAACGCTATCAAAACAATTTAAAAAAATTTAAAAGTTAAAATACAAATTCCTGTCATTATTCAGAGCTTTCTAGATGATGCTTATTCAGATTTTTTTAACAAAGCAAGGGTATCTTCTAATAAAAAAACATAAAAGTTTTTTTTAAAGTTTGTTTTCAGCCACTGGATCTTGTTACATGAGTGACCGTCATGAGACTCCTCTTAAAACACCATTTATCCCCTTCTTCAGGCAAATACACAGTGCAAGCCATTTAAATCCAGCTTGGATAAACTCTCCAGTGCTGCTTGCCCCCTGGACATATAGCCTTTGACAAACTGTAGAGTGATGCACTTCATGATTCATAGCAAGGCATACTTTTGAGACTATAAATAATTTTTCTAACCCTTCCCTGGTCTCTTGCCTGATTTTTGACAATCTTTTAAAAAGCAAGCACTAGGAATGGACAAAGCATGACTGCAGCAACACCTCTGTCAACTGTGTGTGCAGAAGATGCAATATTGCTATTTTGTCTGTACTTATACATTGAAGGATCCTGAGTGCTTTTGTACAGCTACAATACAGCAGGAGAGGGAACTCTCATGTCTTAAATAAGTACATCTGACTGCAGATGCACAGTGATTTGACTGTACTGAAATCTTATAAACGCCTCTAGATCTCATTTACACTAGAGACAAACCTAACAATGAGCATTTGAATCTTCTTTTGATTTCTTCACAAATACTCAAAAGGCTTGGAATAAGCACTAGCCCTTAAAAGCTTCATTAGAAACACTCTGCTTATCAATGAACCCTCTAACAATTTATTTTTTTATCTAACCAGCCAACTTCTAAGTAATTTTGGGTTAAAGAAGGTAAAAGGTATGACTGAATTTCAGATTTTATGTAAAACAAGTATTGTAATGTTAGACCATGTCAGCAGTCTTGAATGGAAAAACTTAGGATAAGTCCAGATTTTTCCCAAGAAAATTCAAGTCACTGTTTAAACTCTCCAGTGTCTGTTGCTTCAAACATGAAAAAACCCCCGAACCTCACCTCATCTGTATTTGCCACTGTTTGTCCTGTGATTTAATTTATTAAGAGCAGAACAACACACACATTTCCGCAACATACTGTGCTGCTACACCAGCAGACCACAGCTGAAAAGCAAGGGAAACAAATGAAGCAGGAATTTACTCGAACCCATTAAGTCCCTTGTAAAAGTGAGTAATAGACTTATCAGAACTGGACGTTCCTTGCCATTTAAGGTATTCAGTGTTTCCTATTTTAGACCAAGTCTGGCTCAACAGCTCCAAGCACATATTTTCACACACACTTACCTAGGTAACAGTTGGAAAAGAGGTTTAATAAACCTAACACTCCACTAGCCTCTTTAGAAAAAGACTCAATTTAGTGGGATCAGCCTTTGAATTGCACAAAAACAGTGAAGTAAATCTTTTTCTCTGTCTCCAAATTAAAACTTTAGGAAAGAAAATGAAGTTCATCTGCATAATAGCTAATTTTAGAAAAAGAAGAATGACAATTCATTTTGAGTTTTATGCAAAGTAACCGTTAGGAGTCTAAACACCCTACACACACCTTGATGTAGATGAGAACATCACACTGCTATTCAAAAAAAAACCACTGACTACTAGTCATGAAATTATCCTGAAGAGAACGAAAACTAAGAACATTATCAGAGGATGGAGGATATTTGGACTATAAGTATTTTGAAGCCTGTCATCCTTTAACACCAGCCAGCTAGATAGATAGATATAGATATTTACACCTTTTTTTTTTTAATGAAGATGCTTCTAGTTTTACAGTTCCCTCTTCACTGCTTACAAGAACTTTGCAAGCTACTAGGAAATGTCAGAGAAAAAAAAACACCACATTGCAGTGGAGCTTCCTTTGAGAATCTTAAGAATCTAAGATTATTACAGGACCCGTGTTGCATTTATGATGCAGCTGCTGTTAAAAAGTAACAGAAGTACCAACAGTACACCTGAATTCTACACAAGACAACAGTTCTCAAATAGTGACAATTAAAGTTCCTACCTATTTCTGTCCTGTTGGGGCCAATGCCATTATGAACTCTCAGGTAACTGGAATGACAGGAATCAGCGTCATCAATATCAAAATCACCAAACTTGAGCTGAATTCGCTGCCCAGGCTTCACACGGATTTCCCACTCACACACAGTGCTATTGGGAGAGGTCTGGGGGTAGTTTATGGAGGCCAGGGTCCCGCTCTCAGGGCCCAGCACAGTGTGTCCACACCCGTCACCTAGGAAAGAACAGACAGAAATCAGCTCCCACGTTCACCTTCAAAGCCCCATATTATCACACCATACAAACCCCATCGTGAGAAAACTACAAGGTAACTCACATGCAAATGACACAGCAGTGGTGATAAATGTCACTCAACTACCACTGCCTTTTGCTTAGCTTATCATCACAGGCAACCAGAGAGCTGCTACAACTTCCTCAGTGAGATGGAAAGTGATCCATAATGACTTACAAAACAGCATGGACAGTGCAAGAAGTGTCCCTGCTATTTCATATTTCCTCAACACCTCAGTACAGAAGGAAACAGGTGCTGAAAAGGACACAGAAACCTGACAATAGAACAAGAGCACATTGGTTTTCCTGATTTACTGTACTTACAACACAATGAAAAAGAAGTAGAAAGCCATTGGACAGCAAATAAAATACGGAATATTAAAAAAAGCTCTGACCACTACCAAACCGCAAATACGTTGTTTTCTACTGTACCACTCTTTTAATCCTGCAATTCACTCCCATTTGGAGAACATATTAAATTTTTCGGAATTTTCCTGTGACTCCAACCTGGAGCCTTCTACCTAATATTTGAGTATTAATTTTAAACAGCAATAACAGCACTAAAACGAATTTGTTTAGCAAACGGAAAACAGTATCACAAATTGTGTACTGTCAATACTAAATTATAAAGAGCAAACTGATAAATTTGATTACTCAACAGCTAGACATACATTTCACCCAGTATGTAGCACAAAAATGCAAGAATTTCTGTGCTGGTTTAGAAATATGAATGCTCTCAGAGTAACATTCACAATGATCACCATGATTCCTACTGACAGAAATTTGTTTTGACAGTAAACAGTGTTTCATATTACACAATAATATGTGTAGTTCCTCTACAAAATACGAAAAGGTAAGCTGAGCTTTAGGTACAAAAACTGTACACATACTTAAAATTCAACTAAATTTCAAAATTCTTAAATGTATTATATGTAAGACTGAGTGGAAAAGTAAGTCCAATGCACTGAAGCAATGTGAAAAAAACAAACCCCTGTGATTAAGTTAACTAGGTCTGATTAATCTGTTTGTAAATACAACTAATTTTTTGCTAACAAAAACTTTTCTCCTTATAATCTGAGCACTCTGTAAGATAGCTGCGTGTTATAAAAGATAAAGTGCTGCTAGTAAACACAGAATCATAAATGGATGCAGATGCAAACTGCAGCTGTTTATCTTGCTAGCAGTCGGGAATGAAAACGATACATCCTTGGAAAAGTTAACTGGAATATCTGCTTAGTAAAATCAAAACTTGTATCTGTGAAGCTGTTCTTCAGCCATGTTTTCATGAATTCAATTTTCTTTAAAACACTTTGTTTTATCCCATGGCAAATATTATTTCTGTTTGATGACAGCTGATCAATTACCCTTCTAAGTTAGAGTTTTTCTAACACAAGACACCATTGTTCAACATTACAAAGAGATAACCTAAGCTGCATGTTTTATATCTCAATATAATCCTGGTTTCTTTCAAAAGGCATGTTATAAACCAAAGAAAAGTGAAAGCTTTATTATGCAGAGTCTGTATGGCCTTGGTTTATTAGCGACTAAGCACTCAAATGTCAGATTTCTGATTAGTCTTAATATGCTAACACTTAACAATAAAAGATTCCTTTTCTAGTAAAATTTTCACAAGCAAATACTCACACACACTACAAGATGCATGAAATTCATTACATTAACAACAAAAAACAACAAATATATTCATGGTGATACATGGAGTTAGCATTTCAAAACTCTTTACATTGCAGATATAAAAATAATTATCAACACAAGCAGCAGTTTTAGGCTATGTCCTAAAAATGAGCCATTAACCAGTTCTGTGCTTTTCCTGTCCTGTGATGGGGTAAGCAATTGCTTATTCATTCACAGATTGAAAATACTCTGCAAATACACTGACACAGTGGCCTTTTGAATATGAAATCATAGTAGCATTCACCTGTATGGAAAGATACACTGTTCTGAATGCATTTTAAGGAAAATAAAAATCCTTGCATGAACTATAATGCTCAGAAGTTTATTATGTCTCATTTCAATATGCCTGTTATTGCAATGCAGTCACCACAAAAATACTATTTCTTAAAACCAGGAATACCAATAATGCACATGATTCTGTATCTTTGATTCTTCCCCACCTTCTTGCATCTTAAGCCTATGCTGCTGGAAATCAAAGACAAAGGAAAGCCTGTGTCTCCTCTTTGACCCAAAATGTATTTAAGCTGTAAATTTCTCCAGATAAAACTAGAAAAAAACCTTCCATAACATTCATTTAAACACTTCTCTCTGCTAGCTTGCTGTTCAGCTGTCTCAAGCATGAAACAATACCTGCAATGTGCATGATTTCTGCACAGCTTTCTGATAAGAAATGCAAAAGAGCTCCAAAACAACTAAACACAGTTAGGTGAGAAAATGCAAATAAAATATTTTAAGTTTTAAGAACTGGGACTTTTCTTTTAAAGACACATCACTAAAAAATTACAACATTACCTCTTGCAGTTTGGAACAATGTCTTGTTTCCCATGGCTAGAAAGAAAAACTAATTTCCTTCACACAATTTAATGGAAACGTCAATCTGAAACCTCCCTTGTGTTGCAGGCTTTCTTAAAAACATGAGAGGAAAAATACTCCTCTATGCATATTAAAAACCTGCTGTCAAATCATACTAGAAAGGCAGGGGAAGGAAAAACCATTGTGCTGAACTGCAGCATCTTGCTATGAAGTCAATTTTTAAAAGTAGCTTATTCTGAATGGACACTTTAGATCTTTTTATTCTATTTCACTTAGGTTAGTGATAACAGAAACGCCAGATACTTCATGCCTGAAGAATCTGAAGATTACCATGGCATACACAGTCTGCCAAGGGCAGTAGCATCACTCATGAGCTATTTGGAAAATTTTAAAAATCACAATTCCAGTGAAACTTGCAGATCCATGAACCCACATCTTGCTTAAGATGTATATGCCTATAAAAGGGCAGTTCTTTAGCCTCTCCATATAATGTGGTGCTTCATCATTTCTACCACACTTCTTTAAACACCACTGATAAACTCCAGAGACACATACACACATCCAGCATCAAGGGATAATCTGCAATACTCAGCAATTTCTCCAAGAAAAAGTACAATTCTTTTCACTAGAGCAGCATATATAGGACATTAGTCACTTGGTTAATTTGCAAGTCATTAAGTGCCACAGAATCTTTTGCTTCTGTTAACCAGTGAGAATAGAATAAGAACACACAGAAGACAGACATAAATCCCCTAATCAATTATTCCTTGATGGGTTACATAAATGCCCTAATCAATTATTTCTGGATGGGTTAACATCCTCTGTTGTCAGTACACAGCTGAACAAGTCTCCTGCTTTCTTTCAGACTTCTCTGTCAGACCACAGGCCTCCCACACTTGATAGACAGATAGATAGATAGACAGATAGATAGATAAGACAGATTAGATAGATAGAGCCCTTTGTAGAAGCACCAGGTCACTGGTGTGCACACATCACACCTGACACGTGGAGGGGCTGCAGATGTGCATCCATTCTCACATGTCCTGGGGACCAAGTTCACAGCAAAGAGGAAAAATTCAACTTGTCACCAAAACCTGTGTTAGAAACAAGGGCAACTCTTAAGCAGCTGACAGAGGAAGGCAGACTGCTGCCATCAGAAGGATCCATCTCCTCTGCAGGCACCTCTGAATGCAGCCTGGATGAATGCTCCTGAAGGAGTTCATATGATTCCTGGGCTATGGCACACTGACGTCTGATGCAATCATGCAGATGGTTGAAAACAATTTCTTAAAGCTAAGTTCTTTACATCAACAAAATACAGGACTCAGACCAACACACAGATACCAAATCCACAGGATTTTGATACTTGAAGAAAATGTGGAATTTAATAAAATGAAAGAATACTGAACATGCAGGAATGGGTGCTAAGTTATTAATTCCCACCAAAAAAAAACAAACCAAAAAAAAAAAAAAAAAAACCAAAAAAAAAGGCAAAGTTTTTAATCCCCACAAAAAAAAAAAAAAAAAAAAAAAAAAAAAAACCAAAACAAAAACAAAAACAAAAAAAAAAAAACAAAACAACAAAAACAAAACAAAAAAAACAATTAACTATACTTTGTAGTTGTTGAAGTCAGAGCTTTTCCCCCTGGAGAACAGTTGCTGTTAGTGACTGATAAACTTGTTAAAACATGTTTAAAATAATTTTTTAGATTAGTGAATGTTTTCCCATTCCTGACTTGGAGAAGAGTGAATGATAAAGACATTAGACAGTTCAGTATTATTACCTATAAAGCACAGCTGATGCATATCAAAACACGAATCTCAATTTTAACACATGCCTTTTGAACAGACTCAATTTAACCAGTGGGTTTCCTGAGAAGAGTTTACAAATATGAGCTATTATTTTCTGTATGTTTGTGACTAAATATTGGATGTAATTGAAACTTTTTAAACTAAACAAACCTGTAAGAGTTATGTAGGCAAAAAAGGTTATTTTAAAACATTCATTTTAACTTCAAATATACAACTCTTTCTGATTCAATGGATTACTATAATTTCTCCTCTTCTGTTCAGCTCCTGTTCTCTGCATTTCCTTACTTTTTCTCAGCATACCACTAAAAGACACTGCATCTGCTTTTTGCTTTTCTCAGTGGACAAGAAAGTTTACACAAAGAACAAAAGAGTTCCATGAATAAGAAACACTGAGGAATTAAATCACAGAGACATCAAATTCCAAATAGCTTTTCCAAGTATTTTCAAATGCCCTTATTTGTGTCCTCTAAACCCACTGCTGTTTCCACCAAATTCCACAGAGTGATGCTCTTCAGGAAGGAATCTGTTCCACTGTCAGGATTAATTTTCTTAACAAGCCAGCAAGCACACAGTCCACTTTGATCTTAACGCCGTTTACTTGCCTCAGTAACAGTAACTGGTTTGGGC